TGTATTATTTTTTGTATTTAATAGAGTATACAAAATAAGCAAGTTCTTCATTCTGTTGTAATGAAAGTTCATTTGCCTCTATGTTATTGAATACTCATGGACTTTTCTTAACATAAGAGTTGTATGCCTGCTCGGCTGAGTCAGCAATATCTTCCTCTCTATTTTTCTCCCATTGGGTTTTATGCTAATAGACTTGGCCCAGTCCATTTCCTTCTTTCAATCATGATGAGTACTGAAAATTCGCAACAGTTTTGTTTTAGTTTTGTGTTCATTTGTTGTCCATTGATTTAGGCTTGGGCTTCTGTTGGAAGATATGGTAACAAAAATAAGTAGTGGGATGTTACAGAAAAGAAAGTGAGGGCTCACGAGCAGACAATGACTGGGAAGCAACAATTTACGATTTATCAATGAAGTACAACTTGTACCTCACTGTGAACCCACCATCTTTTCTTACAACCTATTCAAAACACACACACATGCATGCATGCAAACACATACATGTAGCTTCTATCGGTAAATGAAAGGTAATTTAGAATTTTTCCCACATCTATGATTATTATAGTTTCTAGAACTGCTACAATTACAACGTATGGTGAAAACACTTTCAGTGACAACATAGCTAGCATAAGAATGTCTCCCTTTATATGAATGATGGTGTAGGGCTGTATGACTGAAAATTTGGAGTTTGGGAATAAAACAGATATAGCTATGTTTCTGCCTGTTTATGGACTTCGGCTTTTATCCATGCATGTATTCATTGTTCCACAGTGTTACTATTAAGTGTTAGAGAAAAGGAAGAGTAGGAGATTGATGTTGCTTTAAGAGAAGCTCCAAAAAGTAAATATGGAAGGAGTAAAACACAGCTCAAAATTATTCAGTATGGAGATGTTCCCAAGTCAAGAGACGTTCATGGAAACCGTGAGGGCAAAGTTAATGGCAGTGGCAGTGCTTCTTAGAATAGTGAGACTCTGAAAAAATTACAAAGCCAGTCTGAGAATCTTCATTTACTGGTACCTAAGCAGCAGGCAACAAAGATTAGTGATAAAAAGATAGAATGTCCATAACTGAGATGTTAGCTTTAACTACAGTGTGGAAGTTTTGCTACTCAACTTGTGGTCTATCAGTCAGCCTTATGGGTACCACCGCAGAACTTGTTAGAAATGCAGAAAATCAGCTCCCACAAAGGTCTACTCAATGAGAACCTGCATTTTAACGAGATTCCCAGGTGATTCATGTGTACGCTCAAGTTTGAAGGGCACTAATCTAGAACATTTCACTGATGCAGGTGAAAGACGATTAGTAATTAAGACCAAATTTATGTTTTATATGTTATAATTAGTTCCATCTCTGCCTAAGTTAATTAACTAAAATAGCCATTTTGAATTAACTTATTTTCAGCAACTCTTAATTGTGTTTCTATTCAAGGACTCCTCTGAGAATTTGACAAATGCCTTAGACCTCCACCCCACCCTGCCCACCTCAAATGTGGATGCAGTTTCAGGATATGACTTGAAGCCCAGCCATGAACCCCAGTTAGAACCAGTGTTGTAAAGTATTCAAGTTCTCTTTTACAGACTTATCAGTTAAAAACCACTGAGATCCTTGTGGACCCAACCTGCCATCTGGCTGCTCTCATGGGGCCTAGCAGAATCTGCTCTTGATAAAGACTTTGAAGACACAAGACATATGTTACCCAACTGGTGCCCTGAACAGGGACTGTCATCATGATTTAAGAACTGCCAGGAAATCAAGTTCAGTAGATACCAAGATGATAAATATAATGTCTGCAACTCAATTGGAATTACCAATTAAACATTTCAATTACTTACAAGGCATTTAGACATTTTTATGGTATTATGAATTGTCTCCCACTTCTTGTTTACTAAATTATAATCCTCAGGATTGTCATAATAAGGACTACTACTTATTACTGACTACGTGTTAGGAAACATTTCTCTCTTTCTGATTCTCTCCTTGCAACTTTATAAGGGACCCCTGGTGGTGCAGTGGTTAAGAGTTTGGCTGCTGACCCAAAGGGTGGATGGTTCGAATCTACCAGCTGCTCCCTGGAAACTCTACGGGGCAGTTCTACTCTGTCCTACAGGGTCGCTGAGTCAGAATCAGCTTGATGGCAACAGGTTTGGTTTGGTTTTTTGTACCAGGTTTGTGTATGTGGAAACTGAGGCTTGTGAGTTTAACAACTTGTCCCAAATCATAGTTAATAAGTAAACAGAAAGGGGCAGAGCATGAATTCAAACCTAGGTCTAAATTACTTCAAAATCCATACTTGCACCTGCCTGGGTAAAGCCTTTAGAAGTTTTTAGAAGAAATTCTTGAGAAGAAAGTCTGCAAAACCAACTCTATTTCACTATAAAATGAAACATTTCATCTGAGTCTTTCTTTATACTCTCATTTTCACAGAAAGTGCTTTTTTTTATTTGCAAGATAATGTATTCTGATTTTATTCAGTAAGTTTATCTCCATAATGATTAAATCAATTATGGTTGATCAAACCAGTAACGTGATTAACGTCAAATGTGAAAACAAAATAACTTGGCTCATATAAAACCAAACCTGTTGCCATCAAGTCAATTCTGACTCATAACGACCCTATAGGGCAGAGTAGAACTGCCCCATAGCGTTTCCAAGGAGCAGTTGGTGGATTGGAACTGCCGACCTTTTGGTGAGCAGCTGTAGCTCTCAACCACTGTGCCACCAGGGCTCCAGTTAGGTTGAGTAAAATTGGGGGAAAACTGTTGTTTTTTTTTTTTTTTATTACATTATTTCTTTTGAGCAGCTGATGAGTTCAAGAAATAAAGCAAAAAGCTGCAAGCCCATAAATTTTAACCAGCTCTCCTCTGTTGCTCACCTGTCAGGCTCAGATGCTTTAATCACAAGACGAACTATGTAGCTCAAATTATATAATAACAACACAGAGCCTTTCTAGGTCAGCAGCCTGAAGCACTACTCCACCATCAATTAATTTTAACAACATTCTATAAGGCAAGTAAGGAGAGTAAGGCATTACCATCAATGCAGAAGAGCCCGCCAGAGGAATGTTTCTAAGGACATGCCCTCTACTCTGTGAGATATTCTTAGTCCTTATTTTCCTCTAATAATTATTACTCATGCTACATTAGAAAAAAGGACAAGTTTCTTAAATTCACGTATTAGATTGAAATGGTGAAAGTGAAGCATGGGACGGTAATGAACAGAATAACATGTATTTGTGAACCTTCTCCTATGCATTTAAACCTTAGATAATCCCTAAAGGAGACTGTTTTGAGACTCTGATAATTTTTCTTCCCTAATGTAATAATGGAGCCCTCGGGGCACGGTGGTTAAGCTTTCAACTGCTAACCGAATCTATCAGGTGCTCCTTGGAAATCCTATAGGGTCACTGTGAGTCAGAATTGACTTGAGGGCAATGAGTTTGGTTTGGTTTAACATAATAACAAAATTCCCCTTGCGTTGGCATAACGATTTAGGGTTTGCACAGTACACTTAGGGTTCATTTCATCCTCACACTACCTGGGCACTATTACCGCCATTTTATAGATAAGAAGAACAACGTTTGGAGAGGTTCTAAATTAACTGCCCAAGGCTGCATAGCTAGTAAGTGATGAAGCCTTCTGAACTTTGTTCCCCACACTCTCAAACCTTTACTGCCTCCCAACTTGCAAGACCACAAATGTTCATCTTGAACATGGTAAGTATTCTGGCCTTGTCTCCACAATTCTTTGTATAGGGTTGTCCCATTTGCAATTTGACTCAAGTAAACGAACACACACTGAGTTTCCACTAAGGCTCAGTGGCTACAAAGATGAGGAACAAAATGCTTGCACTCAAAAGTCTTCTCATCTTGTGGAAGAAGAAGATGCATAAAGCATGACTGCAATCCAACTATCCACTCCCTTACTTTATTCCGCATGCCCTTCAAAAAACGTGTGTGAAAATGCAAATGTAAAAGCCATTGAACAGCACAATTTAGGTAAGTGAAATGCATGGTATATGAATGATATCTCAGTAAAGCTGCTATTAAAAAAAAAAGTCAAACAAATACTTGAGGAGATTCTTGTTTCAAAAATTTAAGATGATCATAAAATTATTAACTACTCCTTGATCTTGGACCTGCTTTTTGATAATACAATCTCAGCATTTTGTGATACTGTTTTTATATTATACATATATTGTTAACCTATTATCAATAAGCATCTGATCAAAGTTACAAATGCTATACTTGCAGCATGCCTAATTTCATTGTTATTTGTTATATTAAATTTTTGATACGTATGTTTCTTAACATAAATATTAGACACAAACAGCTATATTTAGTATCTAGGGGCTCAATGTATATTTGTTGAATGAGTGAAAAATGCTTTTTTCTATTAGGCTATAAGTTCCTAGAGGACAGGAATGCTAGATTGGACCGTGGTTCTATCGCCAACTCCATGTGTGCTCAAAGAATATTTATGGAGATGTTTAGCTGAGAGCTGTGCTTCCTCTGTTTCACATCTTATGATTTGGCCTTATTGAGAGTGGAGTTTCTGGCGAAAAGCCTCACCATTGTCCTTGAGCAAATTTTGGTCAGATTTCTAACATGCCTAGTCATGGATACCATTTCCAAGTCCATGTCGACAAATATCGGGATGAATACTATTCACCTGCCCCTCAATATGGTCTGCTTTGGTTAATCCACCACCATAAAATATTCCTGTGTCTCAGCATTATCCTACAAGTGAAATACTCATTATGATTCCACAGTTTAGAACACCTGACTGAAAATATATGTACTTTTTAAAAGGCATTTAAATACCTTGAGACCTTTGTCTTCCTACAGTGTAGCAATGTTTTAGAACTGAAAGTCTCTGTTCTTTATCCTAAAAATTATCACAATAATCCATGTTTTAATGTATCGATTCCTTACATTTAAAACCGAGAACACAAAAATCACAATTTAAGTAGATCATCTATTCTAATAACATAGGTATTTTACTTACCTTCTAGTGCATATTTCATATCCTGAGCAAAAAGGGTCCACATAATTTCAGCACTTATTTTTCCCATGTTCAGTTCTTGAGGAAACCTAACGCCAAACACATTTTATTAGTGTAGTAGAAAGAGGAGTGTGCTTAAAAAACCACTCCCCAGAAGTCAGCACAACTGGACTAAACCAAAGCTAAGAAGTTTCCTGAATACAATCAAACACTTTGAGGGACAGAGTAGCAGGGGTAGGGGTCCGGGGACCATGCTTTCAGGGGACATCTAGGTCAATTGGCATAACAAAGCTTATTAAGAAAATGTTCTGCATCCTACTTTGGTGAGTGGCATCTGGGGTCTTAAAAGCTTACAAGAGGCCATCTAAGATGCAACAATTGGTCCCAACCACCCGGAGTAAAGGAGAATGAAGAACACCAAAAACACAAGAAAAGTAGTAGCCCAAGAGACAGAAAGGACCACATAAACCAGAGACTTCATCAGCCTGAGACCAGAAGAACTAGATGGTGCCCAGCTACCACCAATGACTGCCCTGACAGGGAACACAACAGAGTCCCGGACGGAGCAGGAGAAAGGTGGGGTGAAGAACTCAAATTCTAGTAAAAAGACTAGACTTAATGTTCTGACTGAGACTGGAGGAACCCTGGAAAACATGGCCCCCGGATTCTCTATCAGCCCAAAACTAAAACAATTTCCGAGGCCAACTCTTTAGAGAGGGATTGGACTGGACTGTGGGACATAGAGAGACGCTCGTGAGGAGTGTGCCTCTTAGATCAAGTAGATACAGGAGACTAAACCAGCAGCATCTGTCCAGAGGTGAGATGGGAGGGCGGAGAGGGTTGGGAGCTTGTTGAATGGACATGTGGAATAGGAGGTGGAAGGGGGGAGGGTGCTATTACAGCGTGGGGAGAGCAATCAGAGTCATATAACAATGTATGTATAAATTTTTGTATGGGAAAAAATAAAAAAACCACCCCCAAACATCATTTCACATATACATCATAGTTATTATAGTTATTATACATAGATATAATATTATACATAGTTATAAATATATATGTTATATTATAATGACAGTTATTATATAGTACATATTTTTATTTATGAAATTTCTCTTTATGAACTTTCATAGGTAGGAAAAAAGCTACACACCAGAGTATAGTGATAAAAAAATTATTAGCGGCAGGAAAATATATTCCATTACATGATTGCCAAATTAACGGTGCCTGGGGCTCCCAATGGATATCTTTTGTTTACTTGTTTACATCTGAAGAACCCCTTCAGTTTTAGCAAACACTCCATCTTCCTATGTCTCAATCTAATCTGTGTAACAGATGCCACGTAATACTGAAAAAAAAAAAACACATCTTCCATTCATCCTTGAGCTGCTTTCCTTGAAACAAGCTTGAGCACGTCCATTCTCTATTCCCTTATGGTGAATTAAGAAAAACTCCTTAGTCCCTCTGGTAAAATGGCTCCTGGTAGCCCCATTAACTAGGACTCCAGAACTCCTAGGCAGGTCTGTGGCTTTAGACGAAACAAATTTAGGATAAAGACCAGATTCTTACCATTGCTGAATATGTATTCTCGTCGCATTTTCAATCTCCTAATAAAGTTCCTAATAATATAAGTCCAGTCAACACGATGACCAAATCTTTTCACTATTTTGTAAACATCTACCCCATGCCAGCATGTAAGTCTTTTCTGCTCTAACAAATAAACAAATAAGTAAACATTATAAAAAAACAAACTTTTTACCGTTGAGTCAATTTCAACTCATAATGACCCTAAAGGACAGAGTAGAATTGCCCTCTAGGGTTTCCAAGGAGCAGCTGGTGGATTTGAACTGCCAACCTTTTGGTTAGCAGCCTGAGCTCTTAATTACTGTGTCTCCAAATAAACATTATATACACATATAAATACAGGAACTATATATAAGAATAATTTATATAAATATATTTATATGATTTATATTATATATATTTATATATATGCACACACACATATATATTATATATTACACAAATTATTCTCAAACTGATTTACAATTTTGTGTCCAAATCAAAAAGAGAAATACCTTGTCTTAAAAAGTCCTGAATGAAATAAAAAGTGACCTAAATAAATATGATCTCAAATAAGAAAAGACCATTGACACCACATAGACACTATTGTAGCCCAACTTTCCACCAAAAGCAGGCTATGTTTCACCAACATGTCTTGTTGATTTCTACCCATCAATTTGCCTAACAGTGTCAAATTATATTTTAAAAATTTAGTTATTTTTAAATCTAGAGCAGTACATTTTTCGAGTAAGTAATACTCAGAGCTCATCCTTATGACCAAAAAAATGAATAAAACTTGTACATATACTTGATCAAAATTAAAATCTGCTCCTCGAAATATACTGTTGAGAAAATGAAAAGATAAGCCACAGATTGGGAAAAAAAATTTGCAAAACACATGTCAGATAAAAGATTAGTATTCAGAATATACAAATTACTCTCAAAACTCAATAAGAAAAAATAGCCCAATTCAAAATGGACAATTTAAAGGATATTTCAATGAAAAAGATTAGTAGATGATAAACGTATGAAAATATGCTCAACGTTGTTAGTCATTAGGCAATTGCAAATTAAAACTACAGTGTGATACATTGTAACATGTAACATGTGATACATTTTAACATGTTTGTTAAAAGAGCTAAAAACAAACACACGAAAACTGACAGACCAAGGGTTGACAGAGACGCGGAGCAATCGGAAGTCTTGTACCGTGTTAATGAGAATGCATAAAGTTTTACACTGGAAAAGAATTTGCCAATTTCTTACAGAATTAAATACATTGTTGCTGTTAATTAGCTGCTGTCCTTTCCATTCGGACTCATGGCAACCCCACGTGTGCAGAGTAGAACTGCTTCATAGGGTTTTCAAGTCTGTGACCTTTCAGAAGCAGATCACCAGACCTGTCTTCTGAGGTACCTCTGGGTGGATTTGAACCACCAACCTTTTGGTTAGTAGTCGACTGCTTAAACTTTTGTACCACCAGGGACTCCAAGTTAAAAATACATTTACTCTATCACCCATATTCTCATTACTATGTATTTACCCAAGAGAGATGAAAAGCTGTATACGAGTGTTTACAGTGGCTTAATTAGTCATCGCCCCAAACTGGAAACAAGCAGTATCTTTGAGTTGATGAATGGATAAACAAACCATGATAGATCCATACAATGAAATGTTATTAGCTGGAAAAAGGAATGAGCTACTGATAAATGCAACAATGTGGATGCATATCAGATGAATTATGCTAAATGAAAGAAATCAGACTCAAAGACTGTATACTATATGGTTCCATTTATAATACACATTATTGAAAAGGCAACAAAAACATAAGGGGACAAAAATATCAGGGGTTGCCAGGGGTTGGAGATAGGGAGAGGGGTTGACTACAAAGGAGCACAAAGAAATGTTTGGTGTGATGGAAACATTCTGTCTTAATTTTGCTGGTATTACCTTGCCTATATATTTTTTGTCGAGTGAACCCTGGTGAGCAGTGGTTAAGCGCTCGGCCACTAACCAAAAGGTCCACAGTTCGAATCCACCAGCCACTCCTCAGGAGAAAGATGTGGCAGTCTGCTTTCATAAAGAGTTACAGCCTTAGAAACTCTACGGGGCAGTTCTACTCTGTCCTACAGGGTTACAGGGTCATTATGAGTTGGAATCAACTTGATGGCAGTGGGTTTTTAGTTTATGTATTTTGTTTTCCATTTCAGTTTTTGCTTAGAGAGTTACCATGAGTTGGAACGGATTTCAGGGCAACTAACAACAGCAACACCTTTTACTTTCTTTGGGTTTAATTATTTTTTTCTTCTTTTCTATCCTCTTAAGAAGGTGTTATGGATTAGAATTGTGTTCTCTCAAAATATGTGTTGTAAATCCTAACTCCTATGCCAGTGGATGTAATCTCATCTGGAAATAGGATTTTCTTTGTTATGTTAATAAGGCCATATCAGTGTAGGGCGTGCCTTAAACCTAACCAGTTTTGAGATATAAAAAGAGAAGATGGGGCACAGAAGCAAGTAAGCATACATGGGGGAAAGACAGATGCCAGGTGGAGATCTCTAAAGAGAACTGAGAAGAACACTAGACAAACGGAGACAAGAATTTTCTTCCAGAGTGGACAGAGAGAGCCTTCCTCCAGAGCCAGCACCCTGAACTCAAACTTCTAGCCTTCTGAACTGTGAGAAAATTAATTTCTGTTTTTTGAAGCTACTCGCTTGTGGTATGTATTTCTGTTAAACAGCACTAGGTAACTAAGGCAGAATTATATTTAGGCAATTGATTTCTGGCCGTTCTTCCTTTCTAACACTTATAGTATTTAAAGTATAAACTCCTTTTAGGAATTCCTTTTATCTGTATCCTAAAAAATTGGTATGTATTTTCATTATTAATTCAATCAAAGTATTTCTCACTTTCAACCATAATTTCTTAACTTCCATTTGAGGCTTTCCTAAGTTTATCTTTTTTGTAACTGAGTTTTGCCTTAATTAGACTAAAGTCAAGAAACATATTCTGAGTGATTTCAGTCTTTTAAAATTTGTTGAGACTTTCTTCATGTTCCAGCATGTAGTTAATTTTGATAAATATTTTATTTACTTTCTATCTCCTTGTCTCTTGAAGCATCATTTGGTCATTTTCTTCTGGACTGTCTTCATGTTTCCTAATTCTCTCTTCAGTTGTGTGTAATCTATTGTTAAATTTATAAAATGAGTTATTTCATTTGTAGTTTTTCTTCTAGAATTTCCTTCTGATGATTACAGTAGTTTCCAGTTCCCTGCTGAGTTTTCCATTTTGTTAATTTCTTAGCTATAGTAATAATAGTTAAAGTCTGAGTCTGTAAATTCCATTATATTAATCTCTTCTAATGCCTGATTGTTTTTTGATTGAAGGCGAGACATTTTGTGTGTCAAAACTGTATATATAGTTTCAATCTCTGGGTGATCTTAGTCCTCCAAAAAAAGGATTTATTTCAATTCTGGTGTGTCCTAGGGTTGGCAGAGATCACCTTTAATCCAATTAGGGGCTCAGC